ATTGCTTTATTTACTTATTTTGATTTATTTATTTAGTAGGTTAATTATTTATATGGTCCTTGAAATTGTCAGTTAGGGTTATGATTTCAAGAATTGTTTATATTCTATTGTTGTTTTTTTATATTGATTATAATTTTATATAAGAAAAATAAATAAACATATGATTTTATGGTACTAATATCAGCTAGCCCACCAAAGAAAAAAAATCATGGCTTCGCCCTTGCTTTCTCGCTTGTTGTTTTTACATCACATGATAGTGAGTGAATTAGATACACAGACTCACTAGTCGTACCAGGTCAGCTCAAGGCTACCCTGATATTATTTTCACACAAAAAAACCTAGAGTTATACCTTTGATTTCCAATACATATATAATTAGGGGATTAGGGCCCCAACTATAATATTTTCCTTTTTTTCTTCACTATTGTTTGATTTGAGGCTGGTGGCTCTTATGCAATTACTGTGAGTTTTGAGGAACAAAGGTGATCAAAAGAGGGTTGGTAGCTTAGGCAGATCCTTATTTTTTTTAAAGGACTTTTATTTTAAATATGAGTCATGATATATACTGGGCATGTGGTTGAGTTGAGGGCTTAGGCAGATGCTTATATTTTTAAAAGGACTTTTATTTTAAATTTGAGTCATGATATATACTGGGCATGTGGTTGAGTTGAGGGCAAAGATGAGAGTCGGTAGCTTAGGTAGTTCCTTATTTTTTTTGTTAAATTAGGAGAGCATTTTAACGTGAGATTTTTGGACCCCTCCTGATATAAAATTCTAACTTCGCCATTGCAAATGAGTAATGAATACAAAGTTTAAGCACGAGAATTTGAGTTAGTTGGAAGCAAAAGTATAGAAACGTATCCATAGTCATCTTTTTTCTTTCTCCTTTGCCTCTCATCAATGTGGGATAAGTTGATCATGTTGTACTGTACGTGACATCATGTCCAAATTCCTTAAGTGTTTATATGGACTCGTGGGATGTGTGTTCAACTCTTCTCATGTTCTGATCGATTTGTATTAGAACAACAGGGTATGATAGTTCAATTTTTTCATGATCCTTGTGGTGATACTGATAGGAGCATATTTATGCGACTTTGTTATTTTATTTCTTTACATTTATTTAGTTAATTTCCATTTATTGTAGTAATTTAAGTTATTTTCGTATTATTGTAATTTCAGTCGGTAAAGATGACAATAAATATCAAATGGAGCAATTTGGAGCAGTTTTGGACTTGAATTGGATTACATGCGTGAATAGCATATGGGTTGGACGTTTTTGATGTTTAAATGGTGCTAGATATGTGCTAAAATCTGAAGAAATTAAAGTTAAGGCTAGGAAGACAAGGAATTACACAAGAAAGAGGAATCATAATTGGAGAGGAACATTATCTTATCTTATCTCCAGCTGTAAGGATGAATCCTAATTACATTCCAACACTCTCTACCTGATTCTTAAAGTCCTAAAATAATTCAAAATGCCAAAACCTTTTCCTCGTTGGTTTCAGTCGTTCCCCTCCCCCCATATATATATATGAAATTCCTCCAACGATTTAGGGTGTGCCGCGCCTACCATTCATCCATTGAAGTTGCTGGAATTTTCAGAGTGATTTCTCTCTTTGTTTTAAGTTTCAATGTTTATTTTAGATTGTTATTTTCAGTTATGATGAACATGTGTAACTAAGTTTCTTTTTAGCTAGAGGTGAATTCGAAGCCATGATCATATGTTTTATATAAATTGATTACATCAAGTTATTGTTTCATAAGACATGAATGCGATTTACTTATCTGCTTTATAGAGAACTTATTCTTGTATGTTTAGTAAGGATGCATACTTAGTTTGCAGGCAGGGATTTGATGCTATAATATAAGGGAATTTCACCTAATCGTTATGAACTTATATTTATAAATAGTAAAAGTCACTAGTCATGATTGAGTTAAGTAAATTATTGGCAGGAGTATCATACTTTTCATAGTTACGAATTCTTTGTCAACGCTTATGATTTTCATAGAACTTAATGATCTTTGAGATGTATCTCTATCATGATTTTCATAGTTAGGAAACTTGAGAAGAATAATTTGGTTGCGTCCCTGAGTCCAATTCAATGAACTTAGGAAAATCTGAGAGTTAATTAGTGTTGGTTACAGTTAATTTAGGGCATTGCCATTAATGGTTTTGTAGGAATAATAACTGGAAATTGATTTGTATGCATATGATTCATGTGTGGAGAACAATCATTTAGCTATCCTTTCATCCATATTTCATTCACAACTTAATTTACTTGCTGCCATTTACTTTTGTTTTAATCAAATTCGTCCAAAATCCCTCAAGTCATTGTTTTGTTGCTAGTTTAACTTAGTTTTCAGTTTTATAAGCTTAATTTGTGTTGGTTAGCATCCCTACTAATCCCTGGAATAGAACGATCATTACTTACTCGTACTACGATTGCATATTTTATAGGGTTGAATTTGTGTGTTAGTTTCTACCACATCAGATACCCTACTTTTAAATAGACCTCTGTGGTGAAAAAGCTATTAATTGTAATCATGTGGTGAAATTTGTTATCAATCATAGTCCTTATTAGATTTTTCCTCATTCTTCTTTCATTTGTAGGGACAAAATTGTTATTTTCGTTTTTATTGATTCCATCAACCAATCATAAAGCGCTATATGGACATAATTTAAAAAAAAAAAAAAACTTTTAGAGCTACAATAAAAGAATAAATAAAAAATAAAATTACAAGGTTCATATTATCAGACTTTCTCATTTCAAGATAGCCAAGAGTCCAAAATCAATATTTAAAAAATCACAAAGACACCACCCCGTTTAGATTAGAATATAAGTTATTATATATGCAAACATTGAATTTAGTTTCATTTTAAGAAGAACAGTGGTGGACGGGACGGCTAGGGTTATGTGAGAGAGAAGGGGAAGGTGGTGGTGGTCGTTGTGGCTGTGGTTGACAAAGATAAGGATTAGGGAAGGATTTTTTTTTTCCCCTTCTATTTTTGTTGATTATAAAAAAGTGGAATTACCAAAAAGAAGAGAAAAAAAGAATGGAATGACCTTTTTAGCCCTGCATGTGGTTGAGATTTTGACAAAATTTTCAATTTGGACTACGATTGATAACGAACTTCACCACATGATTAAGATTAACACTTTTTTTCACCACATGGATTGATTTAAAAGTAGTGTCTCACTATAGGGATCAAGAAAAAAATTTAGCCTTTTTATTATTAACAATTCATTATATTTAAAAAATTTATTAATCATTTCAAAAAGAAAAAAAAACTCAACTCATTCATTCTCTAGAAGTAGAACCACTTTCTCTCTCTTCCCCTTCCTCTTAACTCAGGGGTCTACTCTTGAATTTTATTACTTTTTTTTGACATTTAGCCTTGAGCAGTGGCTTCATAATTGCAAAATGAACACTAGCTCGTTAAGTTTATATAATAACAGATTAATGATGAACTGTCCATTCATTAATACATTTGAATGACTACACGATTTCAAATTCAGATGATATTTTGTAGGAATAATCTTCAAATGAAGATTGAGACATTGAACAGTTTTGATTGTGAAATTTCTATTGTAAAGATACATTATTTGCAAGTGAGGGAATGAGATCATCCTCCCAAGAGGGGGAATGTAGATATTATTCATTATATAGAGTCTTTTATATAGTCTCTTGAAGATGATTTTTATGGATTCGTTCTTTAAACTAGCTTTCTATTAGTTTTATAGAGTCTTTTGGAGATTCTCTTATATTTATAGTAATACACGACCTCCATTAAAAGTCAACCAATGTTAACACAACCAGAGAAAAACTTATATGTAATCATTGAATGTATCATCTATCGTGGTTGTGTACTATTCACATAATTTTGGACATGCGAAACATATTACATGCAAGTTTTTATCGTTTGAATGAGTTTAAGTCTTATGAGTTGCGCAACCCTCATCTTCCTTCCCTATTCCCTTTCCTCCAAATCTTTCAAGTTTACATTCGACTTGGCTGTTACTGCGGTATCTAGGATGCTACTTTTGACCTTAATAATGGTGATTTCTACCTTAATGGCAATGTCTCTCCCGTTGTTAACAATATGGTTACTCCTTATGAAAACAAGTGGTGTTCTTGGTCTTATGGCTAGGGCTTTTGTTCTATTGTTTCAACCATAATTTATTATAAGTGTGCCTTTAGCATAGATCTGTCATGTTATTCTGATTTGTTGACGATCTATATAAGTGATAATTGTTATGTTAGTGTCGAAGTACGGATTTTTATCTTTAATTTGTTGGTTGTGCATATTCTTACCAATTCAAGTCAACAGTGTGTTCAAATTCATCTAAAAGGTTATGCATGCTTAGTTCTTAGAGAAGGTTTACTCTTATTTGGCATCATGTATTCTTTTTGTTGGATATTTTTTGCAGTTGTGTTTAAAAACCTATTGTTTTTTTTTTTTTTGCAATTATAATATATTCCTTCTTTTCAAGGGAATAAATTTTAAAGTTTGATGTCCTAAAAAATGAAAAACATTTAAGTTAAATTTTTTTTTTGTTGTAAATACAAAGTTGACACGAACTAAACCAAATCATTTTATTGTAATTAGTTCGATGGTAATTTTGAAGTAAAATTGATCCAATCCGATTATGTCAAAGGTAACATTATTATAGAATCTTCCATTTTCCATGTCCCATTTCCAAATTATGTTACATTGAAAAGTAAAAGAAAAGGACAGATTATCGAAAGAAAAACAAAGGACGAGTGGGACAAAATCTATGCGTCGCAGGAAAGGAAGAGGATCCTCTCCGGAGCTCAAAATGGATCCTCCTGATCAGCCCATCTGAACCGTTCAAATTTAATCCAACAGCTTCAAACAGAAGATTTTTTAAAATTATTATAATTACAACCGTTGGATTAAATTTGAACGGTCCAAATGGGCTGGTCAAGAAGATCCCCATCCTGAGCTGAGGAAAGCATCCTCCCAGGCAAGAAAAAGTTCAGGACTCTCTGACTCCCATTAAGATAAAAGCGGCGTTCCAAGAACGTTCGTGACGCCGGTCACGCCCACCAGCTTATAAATATTAGAAAAACTCACCCCGCAATGTTTAGTTTGGTTGACCGCCGCTTCTTGTCTCAAATCTCAACGCTTTTCTTCAAGGTACGCTAGTCCTTTTCTGTTCATCTTGCTCTCTGTCGTCCTATTCGGTAAAGGTTCGATCTTTGCTTGTTCATAGAGCCTTCCACTTGATACCCCTTGCTTCCTGTGCAATAAATCTGCAAAAACTCTGATGGGTTATCGATGTTTTTCAATTTCCCTGATGGGTTTTTGAGGGTTTTCTATTTTGCTTCTGATTTGTTCTTGTTAGTATGCTTTATTCCTTGATGGGTTCCTTCTGACTTTGTCGGTGAGATTAAATCTTTGAATTTCATCATTTTGTGTGTTGGATCTCTAAGTTTTAGAGGGGTTTTAGAGATTACAATTGTCCCAGATACTGTGTTTTTCTGTGATTGTTATGGATCATCCAACTTTCAATGGAGTTCCTGATTACATGAATGGTTTTAGTATTGATGACCTAGCCTTCTCACCCAATTCAACTCAATTCCCAAATCTCATAAATGAATATCAATTTAACCAGCTCTCTCCGGATCTTAACTTTATGGATAATCGTTTTTTCACTCCACCCGATTTCGAACAGGGTAATATTGTTCCTAAAGTTAGTGTGACCACATTTGGAGAGTCGTTTGTTCCATCTAATAGTTTGAGTCCACCAGATGAAGGCTCATTTTCACTGCCTAATACTTTGAGCCCTGGAGGAGGAGACACATCCTCCGATGACAGTGATTTCTCCGAATCTGTTTTCAAATACGTAAACCAGATTCTTATGGAAGAGAATATAGAGAAAAAGCCTTGCATGTTCTATGATCCATTGGGTCTTCGTATGACTGAGAAATCGTTCTACGATGTTCTTGGTCAACAGTACCCCTTTTCACCCAATCAGCAACCCCTTTATATCAATCCGAATGTTGAGAGTCCCGATGGTAATATTTCTGGGAATTGTACTGATTGTAGTGGTAGTACTAATTCTGGTACTAGCAATTCCATTGATCCTCAATGGGTTGGCGATCTAGGAGACCAAAAATCTTCTTTTCCACAAACTTCCCTTCCCAATGACTACCCTTTCCAGTTTAATTCAAAATCCAGTTCACAGTTGTCTGTTCCTCTGGAAAATGGCATGACTAGGCTTGGTGATGGGCTGCGTGTTGGTGATGAGCAGCATGTTGATAATGTGCTGCAGGGCTCTTCTATAGAAGAGTTTGTGGCTCAGAATATATTTACAGATAGTGATTCTATCTTTCAGTTTCAGAGAGGGTTAGAGGAAGCTAGTAAATTCCTTCCGAAAAGCACTAAGTTGCTTGTTGATCTGGAAAGCAACACAGTGTCTCCAGAAGTGAAAGCACATGTGCCGATAGTTACTGTCAAGAAAGAAAAGAGTGAGAGGAAGAACTTACTTAATGGGTCAAAGGGAAGAAAGAATCACAAGCGGGAAGATGTTGATCTCGAAGAAGGGAGGAGTAGCAAGCAGTCTGCAGTTTATTTAGAAGGGACTCAAGAGAGTGAATTATCTGAGATGTTTGACAAGGTGTTGCTTTGTCCTGGCGGAAATAATGAATCTCAGTGTGACAATGTTGCTTTTAAGAATGAAGCAAGCAAGACCTTGCAGCCAAATGGACAGGCACAAGGATCTAATGGTAATGGTGGGAAGGCTCGTGGTAAGAAACAAGGAGATAAGAAGGAAGCCGTGGATTTGCGGAATCTCCTGATTTTATGCGCACAAGCCTTGTCAACCAATGATTTTAAAACCACCAGTGAACTGCTAAAGAAGGTTAGGCAGCACTCTTCTCCTAACGGTGATGGATCTCAAAGATTGGCTCACTTCTTTGCAAATGGTCTTGAGGCTCGTATGGCTGGTACTGGCACTGGAACCCAAATGTTTTATACGTCCCTTGCTTCCAAAAGGACACCAGCTGTTGAGATTTTGAAAGCTTACCAAGTTCATCTTTCTGCTTGTCCCTTCAAGAGAATGTCAATTTTCTTCAAAAACAAGATGATTTTGAAGATGGCCGAGAAAGCAACAACCCTTCATATTGTCGATTTTGGTATCCTGTATGGTTTCCAGTGGCCCATCCTCATCCAGCATCTTTCAAAGAGAGCTGGAGGACCTCCGAAGCTACGCATTACAGGGATAGAGGTTCCCCAACCTGGGTTTCGTCCAGCAGAGTGGATTGACGAGACTGGACGTCGCTTGGCAAGATATTGTGAGCGTTTTAATGTGCCTTTTGAGTACAATGCGATAGCTTCACAAAACTGGGAATCCATCCAACTGGAGGACCTCAAGACTGAAAGGAACGAGGTGCTTGCTGTGAATTCTATGTTACGGTTCAAGAACCTACTTGACGAGACAGCTGAAGTGAACTGTCCAAGGGATGCTGTTCTAAAACTAATAAGAAGGATGAAGCCAGATATTTTTGTGCACTCTATTATCAATGGTTCCTACACTGCCCCTTTCTTTGACACTCGATTTCGGGAGGCTCTCTTCCACTACTCTGCCTTGTATGATGCATTTGATATTAATATACCCCGTGACAATGAAGAGAGGTTGATGTTTGAGAGGGAGTTCTATGGCAGGGAAGTTATGAATGTAATAGCATGTGAGGGCGTAGAGAGGGTTGAGAGGCCTGAGACATACAAGCAGTGGCAGGTTCGATGCATGAGGGCTGGGTTGCAGCTGCTGCCAGTGGACCAAGGTCTACTGAAGATTTTCAAGGATAAGGTGAAGGCATGGTACCACAAGGACTTTGAAATTGATCAAGATAGTGATTGGATGCTCCAAGGATGGAAGGGCCGAATTGTGTATGCTTCTTCTTGTTGGGTGCCAGCTTAGGAGTCTTGTAGAGTATGCTTGATTGAACTTCTTTGAGAATTGCAGGAAAGGATGATCGACAAACTGGGCAGAGGTACTATTTCCTTTCGTATTTGAATATTCTTTTCTTCCGTGTTGTACACTAATATACATGCATATACTAGTTGGCTTTATGGCAGAACTACTAGTCGGCGTTTTTATAAAATGAAGTTGATCCTTGTTAGGGTTAAGTTTGTTATTTACTCACTCAGCAAGTTAAAAGAAAAAATCTTAATTCATATTTTTCATGTTTTTTCAGGTCATTGGTGGTAATACGGTAATACCTTCTCGCAGAAGAACATTAACAACACGACTCCTTTTTCTGTGTGGTTCAGAGGTCTTTTTTTTCGTTTTTTATATTAATGGTTTGTCTACTTCATGTTGCTAATGAAAATTAGAGCATAATGTAAATGCTTGGCTTCGTTAGTATTTCGTTGCTTGTAGGGTAATGTGTATATATATGTTGGCTTCGTTAGTATTTCGTTGCTTGTAGGGTAATGAAAATTATAGCATAATATATTTTTGATATTTTTCTTCTTCTTTTTTATATACTATACAATGTTTAATTTTTTGTTTGTTTTATCTATGCGGCATCATTTGATTCGATATGTGAGCTTTATTCTTATGTCACGTTAGTGATAAGTGAGCTCTAAATATACCAGATAAGTAATGTAACATAATAGATAGAAAGAAGTCAAAGTGAAGTGAATATTCAGTTTTTTGAAATAAAATGACGACTTTTGAGTTTCTAAGAGCATAGTGAGATCAAAATCATGTTACTGGAAGTAAAATGATGCCTTTTCATGGCGTAAATTAGAATCAAAATCAAATTTTAGAGAGCAAAGTGATGACCTCTGAATTTCAAAAAACAAAAGAAAATAAAATCGAACTTAAAAAAGCTAGCTAAAAATAAGTCTTATTTTGTCAAAAACTTGTAACAAAAAAATTAAGCTTGTTTTAACTTTTAAGTTCAAAAAACAAAGTGCTAAACTATCACACGTGATTGTTTTAGGGGTAAATATCAGTTTACTACCCTCATGTTTCGTAGTTTTCAACATTTAGTACATAAAGTTTTTTTTTGTCCCAGAGTCATACCTAAAGTGTTAATTTTGGGACAGTCTCATACATCCGTTAGTCAAACTGTTAAGTCTGCTGTTAAATGATGATGTGGTGCCTATGTGAACAATGATTGGGCGCCTTTTTTTTTTTTAGAAGGGGTTCAAAAAAAATTTCAAAATTTCAAAAACTAAAAAAAAAAAACAAAAAAGCCTCGTCTTCTGCCTCCCCCAACCCCCCGCACCCTCTCCCTCCCTTCTCTCTCCTTCAACCTGCACCCCTTCCCTCCATTCTTTCTTCTGCAACCTACACCACCTTCCCTTCTCTCATCTTTCCTCCATTCTCTCCTTTGCACCAACCCACCAAACCTTCCTCTTGAACTTTTCCAAGTCGATTCTTACGTACCCAATACCGGCTTCCTCCGCCACTAGTGATATACGGTTTGCGGCGGCTAGGGTAGCACAGTCGAGGGCATATATGTTGGTTCCTCAGGAAAGGGAGAGCAGAGAGAAATCGGAGCCGAGTGGGGTTGATAATGAGGGTGGTGGTGGTGGGATGGTGAGCCAGCAGCAGGAGGAGTATATGGATGAGAAGGAGCTTTTAAATTAGCAAATCTGCTGTGGACATGGCGGAGGGAATGCTGGTGAGTCTGCCGAGGATTTCTTCCAACAATTCCCCTGGGAATTTCGACGGAGAAAATCTTTGGAGCTATTAATTAATTATTTAATCAGATTTCCAGTTTCGTAGCTAGGGTCACGATTTGGATCTTCATTCGGGAAAGAAGAAGCGAAATCAATGCTTGCATTTGGAAAATCGCTGCCGAGAGGAGATGAGAAGAGGGTTTGGTGGGTTGGTGCATAGGAGAGAATGCAGGGATAAGGGAGGAAGGAGGAGAGAAGTGAGGGAGAGGGTGTGGGGGGATGAGGGAGGGAGATGGTGCGGGGGGTTGGGGGAGGTAGAAGACGGGGTTTTTTTTTTTTTTTTTTTGAATTTTTGAATTTTTTTTTTGAACCCCTTCTCCAAAAAAAAAAATCCACGTGAACCTTTAATGACATGTGGCACCCAGTCATTGTCCATGTAGGCACCACGTCATCAATTAACGGAAGACTTAACAGTTTGACTAACGGATGTACAGAGGGGAAGCGAAAGGTGCAGTCGCACAGGGCCCCAAATTTGAAGGGGCCTCCAAAAAATTTTGTCATCTAATGTTATATATTTAGAAAATTGCTTTTGTTAGTACTTTAAAATCTCATTATGCATTCCTTATAAGAGTAAATTTTGTTCCTTTCTAAATATAAAAGGGTAATGCTAGAGAGACTAAATTTGTGAACTAAATGATGAGTCACCAATAGGAAATGATCATGTTTATCAATACTTAAGTAATAATCCAATCATCAACTTACATGTCATTTAATTTACAAAATTTTGTCTACAAATTTAGTATCCCTAGCATCACTCAATATAAAAATTTCTAGTACAATGAGATATTCTGATTGTCAATAATAACACCCTAAAAACGATAGTTTTCCAATTTTAGTATATAATAAGGTTATATATGCAAGTGACTTTAAAGTTAGAGTTTTGAAGTTTTTTTTTTCGTGTTTAGTTGTTTAAGATTGAACTGCTTTTGATTATCTAGTGAAGGTTATGCTTGTAACTTTTTTACTTATAATTAATGACATTTGTAAACTTGCAATCAGTTAAGTGATTGTTTTATAACATCAATACATTGTTTTACTTTTTTTTAATACTATCTTAAGGAGGGGCCCTTTTATAAATTTCGCACAGGGCTCTCGAAATTTCAGAAATAGCCCTGCGGATGTATGAGACTGTTCCAAAATTAACACTTTAGGTATGACTCTGGGATGAAAAAACTTGATGTACTAAATGTTGAAAACCACGAAAGAGTAGTAAACTGATATTTACCCTTGTTTTAGACATTGCAGTTGCACGTGGATTTGTCGGTAAGTACTACTTGTCTGATTGTGGGGGTTGTTTTCTGTTTAATAAAGCTTTCCCTTTTGGGAAAAGATCACATTACCAATTGTGGGGGTTATTTCCTATTCAATAAAGCTTGCCCTTTTGGGAAAGATCACATCACCAATCAAAATATCTCATGCTGTCTCTTTAATCAGAAACCTCCCTCATGAGAAATTTTTAGTTATGACGGAAACACGAATAGTACACAACGTGTTTTTATGTAAGTGGTGAAATTTTTTAATTTTTAAGTTATTAACATTTTAACACACATAACCGACCATTTATATAGAAACACATGATGTACCACCTTGTGTAACAGTCACACTGAAAAATCTCTCCTCTTTCACACCGTCTTTCCTCTTTTCTCTGCAACCCAAAGACACAACGCCATCTCCTGCGATCGACCTCCAAATCACCACCATCGTACTCAAACCAGGAACCTAGCCATGGGTTTCTTTTCGTCAAAATATGAAACAAAAAATTATGCTTAGGTGCAATTGTTTTAGTGACACCGTTGTGGAGCCAAAAATAATTAAGAGGCGACACGTGGATTTTTGGGTAAAAATGATAAAATTACCCTCGAGGCACACCGGAATTCCTACGCGCGAGCAATGGACAATCATCCCTCAATCAAGTCAAAAGTGCCCAAATAGGTATTTTTTTATAACCTATGTCATCAATCCCTCATCATATCTTCTCTACAAGATAACCCCCAAAACATTCATTTTAAATTATGTTAATTAGCTAATTAATGGATTTATTACCTAATTAATTTATTAATGCCTAATTAAACTACCAATTACACCAAAAAAACACACAAGAGGCCGGTCACCTTCTCTCCCAAGGGGGCCGGCCATGCCTTATATATTCTACCTCATTTTCTCTAAAAACCTAAGTTTTCATTCTTGCTAAACACTCAAAAAATTCTCCAAACACTTTTCCCTTAAAATTCTAACTTTGTCATTGGAGGTTCTTTGGCCAAAGCCCCCCATTCATCGTGGGAACGTGAGGCCTTTAGCCTTGACCTAAGGTGTTATTTGTTTTGTAGGTGCAATCTTGTCCAAGAACAAGAAGGAAGAAATTTGCATCTACGTTCCTCTTTAATTTATTCACTCTCTTACCCAACTTTTTCATAGGTTTGGTCACCTTCTAGGTGTCGGCTAGCACTCTTCGAATTTCAGTGTCCACCTGGACATAATGATTGGAGTGTGTCAACAAAGTTGTCAAAACATGAGGTACAAATGGACCACCTATGCTTACCTCTTTGAGCACAAAACACCCTCCCTATCAGCAAAGGGCATGCCTATAAAGGGCACATAACATTGTTGCTATTGTTATATGGACACACATATGGTGTCCTTAAGCCTGACACAAATAACTTTTTGTGCACTATGATATTTTTGTAGAGATTAGATAACTGGGAAATTAAGAATAATGTGGAGGCTGAAGATTGGGGACGGTGCAGATGGCCCATATTTGTCCAGCACAAACAACTTTCTGGGGAGGCAGACATGGCCGTTTGATCCTCATGCAGGTACTCTTCAAGAGCGAGCTGAGGTTGAAGAGGCTCGCCAAAATTACCTCAAAAACCGATTTCAGGTCAAGCCTAGTAGCGATTTCCTCTGGAAAATGCAGGTACGTACTTATGTCGACGTACTATTGGAATCATGGCATCATGCATGATGCGAAAGGGTAAGCTTAGCTCGATTCTTTTTAATGTAACAAAAATAAAAAATAAAAAACGCTCCTTTTCTTATTGAAAAAAAAAAATAAGGGAAAAGGTTACTTTTTTTCGTTGGTTCATTTCCTTATAGTTTAGCTTTTTTTTTTTTTTTAAATTTTATTTGTTATTAATAGGTTTTTTATTCTATGTTTGTAATTTTGTGTGAGAAGTTTTGAGTTCAAATCTCAAACCAATTGCAATTCATATGTTGCACAATTATTTTTCTTTGATTCGAGCAAACGAAAATATGATGTTTGCTTGCACAGTTACACAGATCTAACGACTTTTCCTTAATTGCAAGCTTTATAGGGGTGTATTCAATTGGGATTTTAAGGGATTTTAATTCTTTTAATGAATTTAGGGGTATTCAATCAGAATTTTAAGTGATTCTCTGAAATTCTAGGTGTATTCAATTAGAATTTTAAAATAGTTTATTAAAATCCTTAGAAATCCCAGGTGTATTCAATTAAGATTTTAAAAAAGTTTATAACATTCCAGGTGTATTCAATTAGAAATTAATTTTAAAGAATTTGAGAGAGTTGAGGAATTAGAGGGAATTTGAGAGATTTCATAGTGTATTTTAAGTATCCACAAATTTCACCTCTTCCCATGAGATTTCGAGGGAATTGAATCAAAATTTTATATGGAATCTCTACAAATCAATTAAACTCCATAAAAATCTATGGATTTATAAATCCATTAAAATCTCTCACATTCTCAATTGAATACACTCCCCTTAGTAAGCTGAGTAGAAACCGAACAAATTACAGATACTACCATTGTGACTTGTGT